TTCCAGCTCTTCCTCTGAGACGTCTTCGCAGTGTTCTAGAATAAGTCTAAGACAATCTGATCTCCAAACATCTTCCCATTGGCAAAGGGCATTATTGTTCTGTCTTGGGGAGGATGATTCCGGAATGATGGTTTAAAAAGGATTCTGTGAGATTCATTATTTTTTGGAAAGGAAAAGAAAAAGAATACGATCTTGCCACTCCTGGAGAGGAACAGCAGTGGTGTTCTCATGCACAGACATTGGAGACAAGTTATCTTCTGCCATCAGGTCGTGGGTATCTTGTTATGCCAGATAAGATGAAGGGAGGGATTTGCTGGAGGGTTTTCCCGGGTCTCCATCCTTATGTAAGAGGCCCAGATGGCTGGCTAGAGGATGAAATCTCACACACAGAGATTTGCTTTTAAATCACCTCAGTAGATAAGGCTTCTCTTAAGAGGTTTATCAGCAATCTTTATCCTCTCCGAAGGAGGATTAAAGAAAGAATAGCCTAAAAAAAATTATAAATCACACTCTTCTGATGTGTATGCATGTCCAGACTCTACATGCTTCTCCAATTTGGTTGAATTCAGGCAAAACAGAACAACCCAATGTGATGTGATCTCTCTGTAATCTTGGCCCCCTTGGGCCCTCCATAGTGAAGCGTTCCAAGAGCCAACCTTCATTTGGCTTTCTTCTGTGTGAGCTCCCAGTCCCCTCTCAGTTATGGCCGGGTTGTTCATGGCTCGATATTAAGGTTTAACTTTTGGTTTCCTAATGCATCTGTCATTCAAGGGGCGTGTGAGACATGTAATTGTTGCATTGAATAAATTCTTATTGCTGTCTGACAATTGCCCACCAATATGTCAGCCATTTACTCAAAATCTACACTCTAGTAGTTGACATAAAAAAATGCTCTCCTTGCTGATCCAGGGTGGATAAGCAATGTTAGTGTGTTTTCTTGCCCCTGGAGTGAAGCTTTCAATCAGCTTCTGCATGTATGTGTATATGTGTGTGCATGTAAGCATGTATGTGTAGTTACATATATTCTGTGTGTATGTGTGTGTATGCACGTTTGTATGTACTGTTTTGGAGCTAATTAACCATAGACAAAACATATCTATGGCTTATTTGAGTTGCTCAGTAAACCAGGACAGGTAAGTCCAAATATTTGCAGTGATAGATCGCTAAGGCAAATAGAACTCAAGTGTGTGGATTACTCAATGCACAGACAATGTAGATTCTGGCATCTAAAATGAGAAGACAACGTCAATATACAGGAAGATCGTCTTCAAGTATGATTAAATGAGTTCCTATCTGCAGAGAACAAATGCTACCTGTGTGGTTTCTTTGTATTACAATCACAGCTTTGATCTAGAATGTCTTTTTTGTTTGTTTTTTGTCAGTTGAACTCTGGGCCTGGGCTGTCCCTGTGGTCTTAAGCTCAAGGTGAGCGCTCTACCACTTGAGCCACAGCACCACTTCCGGTTTTCTGGTGGTTTATTGGAGATAAGAGTTTCACGGACTTTCCTGCTGGGGCTGGCTTTGATCTGTGATCCTCAGGTCTCAGTCTCCTGAATAGCTAGGATTACAGGTATGAGCCACCAGTGCCCGGCTTCTTCTTCGTCTTCTTCTTTTTTGTAACCACTAAAGATCTTTACTTTTACTCCATGCAATAATTTTTTTTTTAAAGCTAAATTCTTGGCATCTGTTGCTTTCCCTTTTTTTCATGTAATCATTCTTGATCCTGCTCTACCGGTTTTCTACTGTCTTGGGGGCAGACTTGTAAAAAAGATGGTGGAAAATAGCTTCTCTTCCAGCAAGTTTTTTTTTTAAATACGTTTTTTAAAATACATTTTATTTATTTTATTGTACAGAGGGGTTAGAGTTATATGAGCAAGGTAATGAATACATCATTGTTGCCTCCTGCTTTGTTTTTCCCCTACCATCCCATCTCTCCCCACCTCCTCAACTACTCCCCCCATCCTTGCCCCGTGCCTAAATTGTAAAGTTCGTTTTTTGACATAGCGTCTTCCAGCAAGTTCTTACGGGCATTGGAACCCATTTCTTCCTTTCGTGAGAACACTTTACAGTCTTAGCTGAACTAGACTCAGGTCTGGATGTACAAGATGTAGATGAAATGAAGAAAATGGCATCTCTGTGTGTATGTGTGTGTGCACGCGCGTGTGCGTGTGCTCGCTCACATGTGTGTGCTTATGCACCAGTAAGTATGCATGTGTGAGTGCGTGGGAATCTGCAAACATGAAAGTGGCACCTATGTTTTTCTTATTCCCAGTGGGAGATGCTGGAGTCCAGGCATCTTCCAGTCTGTGTGAGTTATCTTGGGTCCCTGAAAATTTGGGCAGGGATGACATCTCCACCAGTGAACCTAGAAACAGATCCTTGAACCAGTTGGCCATGTCAGCAATTCTGGTGGTATTTTGAAGTGGAACACCCAACCCCAAGTATACTTCATTTCCAGCTTCCTTCTTCAAGTTTGGTTTTACAGCTAAACCCTTGCGGCTAATCAATGGCTGCTATAAAATAGGAGCTCTCTTTTCTAGAAAATAATTGTAACAGGTAGGCCCATCAGGTGATTCTCTCATCACATACTAAGAAATTGGGGTGTGAATCAAGAGAATGAAAAATGTAGCAAAAAAAGATTACCCCACAAAATTTCACACCCACACAAACACACCCACATGTTTTCTGCACACTTATGTTGAAATGTATCTGATTTAAAAGTTGATCCAATATAGAGCGCTAGCCTTGAGCTGAAGAGCTGAGGGACAGCGCCCAGGCCCAGAGTTCAGGCTCCACAACTGGACCCCCCCTCCAAAAAAAAAGTTTATCCAATAAATAGCCTGATAGTTTATTTTGGTCCACAATTTCATCACAGATTTCATCTATAGTTTGCTATTTAAATACTTCAGGTACTCCGATGAGCTAGAAAAAGGCACTAGAAAGATGGCATAAAACCACGTCTATGTATTTTCTACATAAAAGGTAGTTCTAAAAGTCTAAAGCAAAACTGTTCATTCAAGTATCATGTGCATAGAATTACTGCATATTTCCTTTGCAAAGTGAAAAACAGTGAAGTCTTCAGAAGTAGTCAATACTTGTTTCTCTGAAAATATCTCTGCCAAAATACAAAAGAGTAAACTATTGGTACAAGCAAAGACTTGTGGCAGACTCAAGACAGAGCAAGGCAGGGAAATGCTAATCACAGAAGGTAGACTAAAGGATTTACCTAGCATTCTTTGTGTGTGCGTGCATGCATGTGTATGTTTGTGTGTGTATGTCTGTGTGGACAGGTACTGGGTTTGAACTCAGAACTTGGTACTCTTGTTGTTGGTTTTTTTTTTTCTTTTTTTCCACTCATGGTAGATTATACCTTCTGGCTGTTTGCTGGTTAATTGGGCTTTTCTGCCCAGGCTGGCTTCAAAGATTGATCCTCAGATGTCAGCCTCCAGAGCAGATAGGATTGCAAGTGTGAGACATCAGAACCTGGCTTTAGCGTGTGTGTGTGTGTGTGTGTGTGTGTGTGTGTGTGTGTGTGTGTATACCAATTCTGGTAGCTGTCTTTGAGATTTTTTAGCTCAATACATGAGCTCTACCACTTTCCATTTCTGCCTTTTTGGTGGTTGATTGGAGATAAGAGTCTCACAGACTTTCCCACCTGGGCGGGCTTTGAACCATGATCCTTGGATCTCAGCCCTGACTAGCCAGGCTTTCCCATTCCTTCATGACACTACATGGAGATGGAAAACGTGGGGCATGAAGGGAAGGAAGCCATGGCTGCGAGGGCAGCCATTTGTGATGGTATTCCATGGCAATTACAATGAACCCGCACATGTGCCGGCATTTCATACATTCCACACACACAGAGACAGCACAAATGCGTGCATTCAGTCATGGGTTGTCCCATACCCACGTCCTGGAGTTTCTACCACCCTACAGCTCACGCACAGTCTCAACACTGCGGGAGACTGGTGGGTGGAGAAGCAGCAGCTGTGCTACTTTCAAAACTCCTTGGGACCTTGTAATTATTTCGGCCTATCAAGGTCTTAGATGTGTGTTGGAGAAAGTATTCAGCTACTAATTAAATGTATTTAGGAAACAATTTACTCAAGTCTGGCGACCTCTGGGGAGAGGAGGGTTGGAGACAGAAGCTGAGGCCATGCGTGAAGCGATTGAGAGCAATGAATGTTTCCAACTGCAGGAGATTCAAGCGCAAGCCTTGAATTCAGGCCCAGAGCTCGGGTCCGGCCCGTCTGGGGTCTCCTCTCTGGTGATCAAGGGCTTTACCCTAGTTGTTTGGTAGTCTACAAGTTCATTCTAAATCCACAAATTTCCAGAATAAACTCTAGAACCTGTAATGCAAACTTAAAATTTGACCTGAGTAAATACTCAGATGGATAGCTCAGTGTTGTGAGGATGCCAACTTTTATTAAGTAACCGCATCTCCTACATTCACAACGGGAGAAGCTAACCTAGAATTTGAGTGTTTAGCTGAGGTTCTAGGGTCAGACTGGTCTCTGATGGGTCACGTTTGTTGAACTGCTGCCCAAGGGAACACTGAACTCAGGAAGCTGGTGTGGCTATCATTCGGACATAAATGGAGATAGCACTCTCTCGTTCTATCTCAGTAATCAAGAGTCTAGCGTCCTTACTGTCAAGTTGTTCCATGGTACTGACTTCTTCAGGGAATGCTAAAAACTAAATTACCTTGGGAAACTGAGTCCACTGTAAAAACCCTATGCTTTGAGTTCTGGTGCTGTGTGTGAATTTTCTCAAGACATAGACACACATACAAGCTATCTGCAAAGCACTTCACTGCTTCTTAGTCCTCAGTGCTATGAAGCCATCTTTCAAGCAAACACAATAACAAAACTCACAAAAGCAACTCACAGCATTGGCATAATCATTTTATTAACCAAAGGAACCCATGGGGTTCAAACAAGAATACAAAATACAATCTTTATTTTTTTCCCTGGGGGCTAAATTGTTACATTTTTTAATAAAAAAAAAGTTTTCATGGTTCTAACTTATCAAAAACCTAACCCTGTCTACTAAGTCACTTATTGTGCAAAATAAAATTTTACCCAAGGAAGGAAATAGCTTTTGTGCCCAACAAAACAAAACAAAACTGCACACTTTCAGTGGCAAACTTTTTGCATTGAAAAGAAAATTCCAAGGTCACTTAAATTTTTTTTAATCCAAACTAAACCAAGAGGGGATGAAGCAAGCAAAACAAAACAAAAAAAAGCCTAAATTTTTATCTTCATTCATAGGTTTGCTCTGTTCCCAAAATGTAGTTTTCTGCATTCACCAAATAACTTGATTAAAGTATTCCATTTAAGATGCTTCCCATGCGATCACTATGGCCATGCTTGTGAGCTGTTCCCTGGAAAGGCTGCAAAGTTAGCTTTGCTTCAAGTGGAGGATTTTGTGACTTGTCTCCCCAAGGGATCAAAGCAAGCCAAAAGAAGGGCCCTACCCAACTGTGGCTTTTCTACAGGGAGCCAGATATATAAATGTTCTCTGTTCACACACCAGTTGTGCTTTTCCCTTTGTTTTGGGTTTCCTAGAAAAAGACACTTTTGACACCGTGCATAAACTACAGCCCGACAAATCAATAAACTGCTGAAGGTCTTCCCTACAGTAAAAATAAAACTGTTTAGAAAGCACTTAAATACACATACCTGCTTAAAGACAAACACACACACACACACACACACACACACACACACACACACACACAGAGTAACAAAATAGAAAAAAAATCAAGGAATGAAGTTGTGGGGCAATTCCAGTACCATCGTCAGTATTGACAAGTTTGGCATTGTGATCTTTTACATGGCAACTTCAGAGCTGAGAATTACATTCAGAGAAGGAAACATACACATTTTATCTAATGAGTGTAAAAAATAAAATTTCCCTGATTGTTGGCCAACTGAGTTTGAAATACAAAATTTAACTGTGGGAGAAGTTCTTCCTAAGGGAGCATACTAATTGGAAGTGAGTCACTCTGAGGAGTGAGTTACAATATTCTGAATGGGCAGCACCAGGGTTTTAGAAGAAACCCTTAGGATCTGGCTGATCCCAAAATCTCTACCGTGGGGATCGCTGATCTCCCTGCACTTGAATGTCTGGACCCAAGAGACCAGGGAAAAGCAAGCGAGCCCGTGGTCGTGAGCAGGGAGTGGGTGGGTGGACAGTTAAAGCACTGTGGAACCTTCCAGTAGCGACACAATCCAGTTGAAGATCCTGAGGTTTGATGACAACAAAATATTGCACCAAAACAACAATAATAAATAAATCACAGCTTAAATAGGACTTGCTAGAGGCCTGGAGTAGCAAAGTGCAAGTCACCAAGTGCCATTGGTCTCCTTAATTCCCCTCGCGGCAGGAATTAAGTTTCAAAAATGCCATTCCTACCCTCTTCTGAGTTTTTGCAATCATCCTCAAATACCCCTAGCGATTCACACGTTATTCTCCTTCCACTGGATGCGAGATTTGGGTTTTTCACCTGGGTGTAATTTCAGGTTTAGTGACAGGTGAGAGGAATCTGCTACTGTAAATCACAGAAACTGCAAAAAAAGGCTCATCAAGCCCAGCTTTAAGAACACATCTGATAACCCCACTAGAGGTAGGTGAAGAAGAGTTTTTTCTTTTTTCTTTGTGTGTATGTGTACAGTTATCAAGGCATCCTGAGGCTATTACCTTTTGTCCCCCCTGTCCCCCCCCCAAAAAAAACAAGTTCCCTTAGGTAAATAAAAGATGAGGGAAATCAAGCATATAACCGGGTGGAAATTTCTAAAGGTGATTAAAAAAAAAAAAGAAACAAACTGGCAGCCTTCCTCAGAACACACTTTCTTGTTACTCTTTTGTTCCGGTAGCAAGGATTGAACTTAGGGCCTTGGGTGTAGTCCCTTAGCTCTTTTCCCTCAAGTCTGGTGCTCTACCACTTGAGCATTTTGGTGGATAACTAGAGATAAGAGTCTCACAGACTTCCCTACCAGGGCAGGCTTCGAAAACCCTGACTGATCCTCAGCCTCCTGAGAGCTGCTTGAACCACCGGCGCCTGGCTGAAATCCATCTTTGGGATTTGAAGCGGCGGGCCTCCCGAGGAACCCTGTCTGGGTTTCTTAATACTGTTGAGCCAATTTGTAAAGGGCACTGTCAACCTCTCTCTCCGGGAGTGAGAACCGTTATGGTGTCAAGAAAGAACATTGTGGGAAGTTCGGTCCTCGCTCGAGTTCACGAGCCGTGGTAAGGAGTCAGGAAGCGCTGGCAACGTGAGGGTCTCACTTTGTATTGACGGTGGGTCACCTTCTCATTCACGCATTAATTCACACTCACCCCCAGCGGAGCGGAGCCCCAGCCTGCCACGTGTCACGCGGCTCACACCGCACGTCCGGTCCGCTGTGAGACACCCCGGTGAAGGCGCGTCCACTCCTTACAGATTCCCTCCTCCACCTGCTCTATCACCACCAACACTTCCAGAACCTTCTCTGACTCTTCATTCCCGAATGGGAGCCACAGCACCATCCTCTACACGTGTGCAGACCCCTTCTATGGGCCCACTAGAAAGTTCTCGTAGTCTTTAACTTCTATTGCCTTCCTCCTTGGTGATCTTTTATATTCTTAAGTTGGCCTTCCCTCCTTGGCCTCCTGCACAGCAAAGAGAGAGGCGGGGGACAGTCTTGGCGAGGGCTGAGGGGAGGCCTGGAGGAGGTCTAGAGAATGAAGGAAACAGGCTGACTCTCCTCTGCCTCGCTTGGGTGTGGGTCGACCTACGGGAGGAAAAGGAAAAGAAAGGCTTGTAATGACCGCTGTAGTGCATCCCTGTAGTGACACCTGTAATGACCTGTAATGACATGTAGTGCATAATCCCAGCACTCAACAGCCTAAAGCAGGAGGATGGAGAATTTAGACTATATCCCCATGTCTGGGAAAAAGGAAAATCCAATGATTCCATTCTCCCTTTCGTCTATGGTATCTCCCAGCTAAGCTGCTCCGAGTCTGCCCACAGAGACGCTGGCATTTCCTGGTCGTGTGTGCCAAGGATCCCAAAAGGACAATGCCGGAAACCAGGTGAATCCATCAGAGTAACAACCCAGTCTGCATACATCTTCCTCCAGTCGCAGGCCAGCCACGCAGAGGGCAGCGCACTGGAGCTTGGTCTACTTACCTCCGAATAGAGAGGTGGAGGCTGGAAGCGGAACTCTTGAATGCAGGCAAACCTCGGGTAGCAGGCATCCCCCTGGCAGTCGGGGGGCTGCGGGTACGGGGGAACGTGTCTGGAGAATTCCTCCTCTGATACCACGTCTGCGTAATTGGGCGGGGCTGCAACAGAATTGGAGTCAGGGCCAAGAATCTAGGCGTGAAGGAACATGCCGCTGTCTGAACACTTACAGGAACAAGAAATCTAGCTGAACTGCCGTTACAACACAAAACTTCATTCTATTACTACTGACATTTAATATACTGTGTTGCATTCTATTCTATTCTATTCTATTCTATTCTATTCTGTGTGTGTGGCTGGGGGGGGGGGGGGGATGTCAGCAATAGGGCTTGAACTCCAGGGTCTGGGTGCTATCCCTTAGCTTTTTTGCTTAAGTCTAGCCCTCCACCATTTGAGCTATAGCTCTACTTCTGGCTTTTTGCTGGTTAACTGGAGATGTCTGGGCTTGGCTTTGAACTTCGGTCCTCAGATTTCAGCTTCCTGAGAAGCTAAGCTTACGGGTATGAGCCACGGGTGCCTGGCTGACATTCTATTCGAGATGCCTGTGCTACAGTCTTGACAAAGCAAATGTCACGGAGCGGTGGCTCTGGAAAATTCTTAGCACTCTCTGCTTGTGTTTTGTCTGTTCTTTATGTGTTACTGTGGCTCAGTGGCGTGGGGACATGTACACTTTCCTGGTGGGTGTGCTAGCAGATGTGAGCTGTGGATCAATCCAACCTGTCCCTTCTGGGGACGCTTTATGACTGCTCAGTGGGTGGAGAGGCAGGAAAGCTGGGGCCGTTGAAAGGATGAGGAGCGTATTATGTGCCTCGCCCGTCCTCAGCGAGCGGTGGGCTGGGCTGGGGTGGGTGGGTGCAACGCGACCTGTGAAGACGCTTTACCTTCGGGCTGCTCGGGCAGGGTGAGGGTCAGCCAGCTCATGTCCATACTGAACTGGCTGGCCACGCTGGAGTTCCTGCTGCCGAAGCCGCTGTAGGGGATTGTACCGATCACCAGCGGCAGCTCGAGCATCAGCTTTTTAGCACCAGGGATGTGAATGTATACCTAAGATGTCAACAAGTAAAAAAGAAGGGGGGGGGGTTAGGTAAGTGAAGCCTCATGGGAAGTTCACGTCTCTTCCTACACACACAAAAACGCCTTGCTTGCCTACCACCCCACCCCGGGAACAAATATAAACTGTCCCAACTACACAGAAATGCAGAACGGAACAAACAGAACAATCCTGTCGCCGCCATCTGCGGCCTTCACGTGCTTCGCCAGACTAATAACTGCAAACTAAGCGGGCGCTGGTGGCTCACGCCTGTGATCCTAGCTACTCAGGAGGCTGAGATCTGAGGAGCAGGTGATAAAACGAACCACCAAAAAGCCAGGAGAGGAGCCATGGTTCAAGCGGTAGAGTGCCAGCCTTGAGTGAAAAGGCTCAGAGGCAGTGCCCAGGTTCTGAGTTCAAAGCTTCGGGACTGGCATGAGAAGAAAAGTTCCTAACAACCCTCCCCCCCCCAAGTCTCTGTTTGAGGTAACAGGCACCCCAGAAGCATCTGGATCTCTGCAGTGACTCCTGGGGCGACCCTGGGCATCCCCGCGGAGCATGCTCCTGCTAGGCCTCGCGCGGCCCTGCTTACAGCTAAGGAGTAGTCCACGCGGATGATGCAGCAGTCCAGGATGGAGGGCGTGACGGGCGGGATCTTCAGGGTCTTCCCGTTCCACGTGTCCATGCTCCCCGAGGCAATGTGGTTTCCTCGCACGTTGGCCACCATGTGGCGCACGGTCTTCGTTTTCCCACTCGCCAAGTAGGTCTGGGTTTGGAAAATAGCTGCCTTGGGGACAACGAGACGCGAGGAGCAGTTCTCGATTTCCGCGTAGATGGGGATCGCCTCTCCTGGAGAGAACAGACGACAGGGGCTCGCAGCGGCTTACGGGGAGGGGGCCGTGACCGTTCCAGAACTTTCTTAGCAGACTGAGAAGTCCTGATGGAACACTTACATCGCAAACTCGAGGCGGATGAGGAAAAACGCGTGGCGGCATGTGGTAGATAGCATTCTCCAATGATGCCACCGCTCACTTTCTAGTGTAAAAATACTACCAACTCCAGATGACCAATGGCATACAAATGAAGATAAAGTGTGCAGACAGATGGTTCGGTACTGTGAAGTATAACAGATCACTAACAAGCTGGGAACTAGGGGCTCAGACCTGTAATCCCACCTACCCAGGAGGCTGAGATCTGAGGGTTGCAGTTTGAAGCCAACCTGAGCAAGAAAGCATGTGAGAGTCTCTAATGTCCAATTAATCACCCCAAAAAGCCAGAAGTGAAGCTGTGGCTCAAGTGGTAGAGCAGTAGCCTTGTGCAGAAAAGCTCAAGGTCAGTGTTCATGCCCTGAGTTCAAGAGCCATGACTGGTACAAATAAAGAAAAGAAGAAAAAGATTACTCATAAACTCCCTAGTGCCTATCAGATTAAAAACCTTTCCAACAGGGGCTCAAAACGTTTGCTTTTAAGGAATTAATAGTGTTAAGGCATAGGTATAACTAAAACAATGGGTGGAGTGGGCAAGTTTTACAACATTACAATATAATATTTCACATCAACATTCCCTGCCAGTGAGAATCCAGGATCGGGGAGCAAATCCACTGTAGGAAAGAGGCCTTCGTAACTGATGCCTCTCCTGACAGTGTCATGGAAGTTGTGAGGACCCATTTCTCTGTCCCCCTCAAGCCAGCACGGAATCAGAATGCCCAAAGTCCTTTCATAATGCAATAGTCGTCCCATGAACAACTTACCTCTGGGCATTCTTCTCCAAGATTAAAATGGGCTGCTGGCATTCCCTCCCTGTGCCAGGTTTGCTCTTTGGTACTGATGGAATGGAACCGAGGTCAGAAATGCCAGGCCTTTTATTGATACTTCCTCATCTAGCTAAAAATATAGCGCTTACGATTCAACACAAAACTTTACTATACATTGTTTTCAACGCCAGTGTACTTGACACATGATAAAACCTGCCCTTCACAAGCCACTTGAGACCAGCCATGTTTCAGGATGCCGTTCCCACGGTCGCTTACCGTTGCAGTATCCCTTCCTTTCAATTTTGGCACTTAGCGAGACTGGACCAGAGGTGAAAAACCAACAGCCAACCATTTTCTCTTGAGTTTTCAATACGGGGGTCTTGAAAAAAATTCAAATAAAATGACCTTAATTAAACCATTTGAAAGAAATCATAGAACGTACAATTTTACCTTTCTTTATAGAAACATCAGCATTTCTTATTCTCATGTGGCAGCTGCCAAGGAAACCGGGTATCTGTAATATGCTGTGCTAAACTCATTTTCTACTTAGGGAGCAGGGTGGATTTCCAGATTCAAATTGGAGTGAGAGCATCCTTTTCTTCCGGAAGTTACTGTAGGAAATGATACACCTTCTCTTAAAAAATGTGAAGGCTGTTGCTTTATCTACCAATGGGACAGACGGTTAAGTCTTTATGTATAGACCAGGTGAAAGGAGACATGATATAAAATCACTAATCAGGATGTTGTATTCGTTTGGCCATTATTATGTGGATTAAGCAAACAGCTTTTCCCCTCATTTCTTCCAAAGGTATCATCAGGCAGAAATCTCTACATTTAGTGTCACAAAGCAAGTTAGAAGCTGTGAACGGGCTATGAACACAGGGAACCCCACGACTGGGAGCCGATTCCATTCCTAGTATTCAAGGAAATGTCCTGAGATTTAAGATCCTCCGTTCACACATATCGTACACCACCAACTTGCCATGAAACCAGTTTCTTGTCATCTCTGTAAGAATTGCGTAAAGAATACACATGGATTTCTCTGGGGATAGGGTACTTAAGTAATTTTGCCTAACAAGCATGAAGACTTTTATACATCTCTAACCCTCAAGTTTTCATAGGGGACTCTGAGAGGGTGCTGTGGTCCTGGTTAAAGGCTGGTGATGTCTCTGTGCTGATTTTAGCACAAGAGACCATACACCCATGGTGCATTGGTTATCTTTTATCCAAAGGTGAACTAATTTTTTTTTTTTTTTTTGCTTGAGACAATAAGGATTAAACGACTGTTCACAAAAAGCATTTTCCTTGTCTTTAAAACACCAGTAAGAAAAAAGAAACATCTGACACTAAAAAACATCTTTGTCACAGCATATCATGTCGGAAAGTTGAAATTATCTCAATGTTTTCTCTGAAGTAAAAATGAAACAAAACAAAACAACAAACCCCAACTCATTCATATTTAAATGAAGAACCCTTGGGTCTGAGCCACTAAGGATGGTGAAAGTACAAGGTATAATTTTATATTATCTTGATAAATTGGGTTTAGATAAAAGAATCCAGCTCATTGGCTCCCCTCCTGCCTGCTCTGCGGTTATGTACAGGCTGATCTTTCATATGGGCCTACCATATTGCTGGTGGTGATTACAAGTTCAGTGCTTTCATGTGACCCAATCTGTCATAAGGCAATGCTGAGAGAGAGCAGTTCTGGGCTGTGCTCCACAGCTGCGCGCGCTCACTTAATGCTAGAAAATGACACGCGCGTTGGAGAGACGAGGCACATAATGGCCTGGGCTTCAATAGCAGGCGGAGCGCCATTAATACTCTTCCATAATTACGGTCCCTCAACCTGCTATTATTGAGGAGTTGAGAACACCACAGTGCCATGAATGGGGGAAGGATTCTTGGTGGGTACATTATTGTTATTATGCCTTATTAATGCATTTCAAGCCTGGGTTAACTTTTTGGCAAAAGAAAGCCTTGAACAGCAGGGACATAATCAATAGTATTAACACACACAGATTTGTAATTTGCTTAACCTAGACTCGTATATTTATGGTGAATACCTGTATGGCATTCTGTCACCGATTTATTTTTCTAAGCCATCGGAAAGTAACAAAGGACGGAGGGCCACGAAACTGCTCCACGGAGATTACCAACTATTCAAAGGAAAAGAGAAAAGAAGGGAGGAAAAAGGGAAGAACTTACCAACAAAGCTGGCGTGTTGACGTTAACGTGACTGACAACGTGGAGCTCACGCCTCACGCTCTGGTCTGGCACCCGGGGTCTTTCCAAGACTGCAGTCACGCAGTACCGGATACTCCCGTACTTCCCAGTAAACGACGTGACCAATGATCTGGAAGAAACCACAGACATTCACTTGTGAGTTTCTCTTCCAGTTTACCAGTGCCAAAGAATGTCCGCTTCCAAAAGTTAGCTTGGGTTGAGAAACACAAGAGTAATGGGGCAGTGGAAGGGAGGGCGGGCGGACGCGGGCTGAGCAAGCAGACTTCTGGGTCAAAAGACCTGGGCTGGACCACGCAAGGGCAGGGAAGGGTGGGATTCTACAGAGCCACTTACTCAGATGGAAGCTGGAAGCGAAATGGAAATTCATGCTTCCCAGGCTGTAATAAAATGATGCCTTCACCTACAAGAGAGACAGCATTTTATTCTTATTTTTTATTTATTTTACAAGGGTTTGGGCAACTTGAATTGTATTTTTTAAAGGTAATTAGCTGTTTATAATCTGCACATCCATAAACAGATTTAGAGAATTAGATTTGAATCTGGTTTGCCAAGGAACACACAGGTATGCACAGACGTATGCATCCGTAGAAACATGCATTGTGTACACACACGTCCATTCTCAAAGACTAATTACACAAGTGATGACTGAACTCTAACTACTCAGCAGACATGCTCAGACCATGTGAATACATCACATACATCTGTCTGTCTATATATCTACACATGTACACAGATGTTATGCTATTCTACTCACATGAAATAGTAACTGGACCTAAAACTAATTAACAAAGGTTAGATTTATTTTGGGTACATCACTACACACTTGAACTCACAGCCTGGGAACTGTCCAGGAGCTTCTTTGGCTCAAGGCTAGCGCTCTACCACTTTGATCCACAGCGCCACTTCCGGTGTGCTGGTGGTTCACTGGAGATAAGAGTCTCAGGGACTTCCCTGCCCAGGCTGGCTCTGAACTATGATCCTCAGACCTCAGCCTCCTGAATGGCTGGGACCATGAGCCATCTGTACCTGGCTTACCACTATGTATTCTGTGGGCAGAGATTTACGAATAATACTCTCATTGTAAGTAGCGTCTGCGATAGCAGATATCCAAGACAACAAGACGAGAGGTAAGCATCTACCTTGTAGCCCGGGAAGACAGAGTTGGGTTTTCTGTGGGGGGTGTGGGGACGAACGTGGGATTTCTCTTCCTGCCTGGGCCCTGACTGGGAAAGGCTGAGAACCCAGGATGTGGGTGGGCAGTGGGTAAACACGGGCTCCACGGGAGCCCACGTCCGCACACGCAGCCTGCTGGACTCAGACCCAGAAGCGGGCTCCATGGCTTCCGGAGCTGGGAAGGGGACTGTGCGGCGAGACCTGTAAAGGTGCATGCATTTCACGCGCAGAGGGAACACCAGACTTCCTCACCGCGCGTGCGTGGGGTCACCCTGGGGAAAAGATGGCACAGCCAGCAAGCTTTGAGATCTGCTTCGGTCACCTGACTCTGAAATGAACATCTTTCTTTTCTCTCTCTCTCTCTCCTGTACACGTTCACGTCAGTATTTTCTGGGGGCTGAAATCACTGGTGACGTGGGATTGGAGTGGCTAGCGATGTGGGGCCTTACACCTGCTGTTTTCTCCTTGTTCTTTTATCAGACAGGGACACAGGAACCCGGCCAGGTCCACCTGCCACTTCCAGCGTGCGGCACAGCAGGCAAGCGCAAAGTCCCTCTGCATGGCAACAGGTCGCACTTGGCTGACCAAAGGCCGTGGGAGCCCTGGGACATGAGGTCACATGGAAGGGTAGGGAGAAGGGCTGCGGGCAGACGTGCGCGGAGGCCGCTCTTCATGCCCAGCACCGACGCTGCGCCTGCCCTGCTTTCTATCACTCCAGTGAACGAGGCCGGAGGCGGCTCCCACTCGTGGGGGGGGGGGGGCGGGAGGTTACCTGTAATTACCCGATGACAGAGCACGACAAAGTACTCAGAAACGTCTGCTGCCCATGTGGGTTTTATCCCAGTTCAACTTTTATGGGGCTTAGATTTCAGGCCTTGCTGATATAACTACAACCTTCACACAGGCCAGCAGGGGGAAAAGGAGACTGACTATCCAGTGGTACTAAGGAAAGGCTGTGCAGTGCTAGAGGCCAGAGCACCCCCCCACCAGTGAACATGGTTGGGCCTGGCGCCCTGAGGACCTGAGAAGTGGAATGCAGCAGGGCGCAGATGAAGGAACGGCACCAGAGGAGGATGCACAGCAGGTGAGCAGACAGCAGAACTGTGGGAGGGAGAAAGGGAAAGGGGAAGATGTGCCGCCATTGAGAAAAGCACTCAGCGCAGTAACGACCTCACTGAAGATGAGACTTTTAGCCACCTTTCCGAAACCCAGCAAAACAAAATTAAGAAAATGAAGAACTACTGGTTATAGTACTAGAAACTTGTTTTTGTTTGTTTCTCCCTTTTTAAATTACTATTTGTTTTGTGCCAGTCCTGGACCTGAATTCAGGGCCTGGGAGCTGTCTCTTCAGCATTTGCTCAAGGCTGGTGCTTTACCGCTTAAGCCACATCACCACGTTCAGTTTTGTTGGTGGCTCATGGGAGATAGTCTCTTGGATTTGTCTGTCTGGATTGGCTTGGAACTATGAACCTCAGAGCTCAGCCTCCTGAGTATCTAGGATGACAGGCGTGAGCTGCTGGTGTTCAGTGCATCTTGTTATTTTTAATGAATAGGCACTAGAACTCCATGCATGTTTCTGATTCCCCTCTCATGTAGTCTGAGGACTACAGAGCTACTCCATTCCTCATCTTATAGTCAGAGCTCATAATTAAAGGCTTCAGGATGATGGGATCTAGAAGACAGAGGCTCAAAACTAAACTGTGTTCTCGAGGTGTAAGGGGCTTGTACAAGGTTACACTTCCCTGGGCACCTACGAACTGGACAGAGTCTCTAGTTTTGTCTTCCTGTCTTTCTATCAAAATTCCTCAATAAAAACCACAAATTTCAGACACAACAGCAGCAAGGCCTTGGATTTGATGAATAATTCAAGGAATTATCTAGGGAGAGTTTTTTGAAAACAGATCCTAGGATCACAATTCCTAGAAATCTAATTTGTGTGTGTGTGTATGGTGTGTGAGCCAGTCCTGGGACTTGAACTCAGGGCCTGGTGTTGTCTGTGAGCATATCTGCTCAAAGCCAGCACCTACCACTTGAGCCAGAGTTCTACTTCCAGCTTTTTGGTGGCTAATTGGAGACTAAAAGTCTCATATACTTTCCTGCCTGGACTGGCTTTGAACCAAGATTCTCCTATCTCAGCCTTCTGAGTAGCTAGGATTATAGGAGTGAGCCACCAGCACCTGACTTTAGAAACCTGAATTAAAATTTTTTTTCTATTGATTTAGACAGCCATTAAATGACCCTGAAAACCCAAGCCTATGTTATGTTGCTAACTTCTTACAAGTTGTAGAAATGAGGGGTGGTTATCTGTCCCTCAGCTAAGAGAGATTCTGGTTTAAATAAATGAGTACCATTACAAATATTTATCACAATACATTCTACACCAAGGAGATTTTTCAGGTTGTCTAGGTTTAAATACTCCTCCATTCAAATGAAAACAAAAACAACCCAACACAAGATCTGACTTGTTAATCAGAAAGCGACCTGTTAGCCCAGATTGTACCAAAGCAATTTTAATCATAGGTTCACCTGCATTTAATTTTATGCTTATTTACTTAGCAGTTAAGGGCTCAGAGAGTCTAAAGTCTTGGATAAAAACCAATTTACTTCTTTGCTGTGGTCCTTCCCATTAGTCGGCCATCTTGAAAGCATCTTGGCTCTTACCACTGTGGGAAATGAGCCGGGGGAACCCTGAAAACTACAGGGATGACCAGAGTGGGAAGGCAGGTAACAACTTCACTTAGCACCTGTGCTCAAGTCAAAAGACAGCTGCGGGTCCAAAGAGAGTTTCCTTCACTATGGCTTTGAGATTACTCAGATGACAGACATACATACTTTAAGGATTTAACTCTGAAAATCTCCTTCTCCATAACAGCAATTAAGACAAAGATGTGTTCCTAGTTTGTATAAAACAGCAAAGGTGAAGCATACAGATACGGTGCACTCTGCTCTTCAGAGGAATGTATTTGACAGCCAATAGCTCAGGTGTTAGAAAGGTAGCAGTTTGAAGCGTTTCCCTTGAAAAAAAAATCATTCTAAGTCACTCGTGGTTGTTGGTATTTGCATGACGAAGGGAATTTTTGTGCCTGGAAGGAATAGGACACGCACACGGACCCTTCTAGAAAAGCCTGCTCTTCCTTTGCATTTGACAAGGGTGAACAGAAGGGGTCATCCAGATGCCATTATCTTCAAAGGCCATTTTTTTTTTTTTGGCAGGAAGAAGAGATGCAAAAGGACAGATAACATGAGGGAGAGGCAGACCAGAGAGCTCCCCAGAGAGAGGAAGCCAAGTGTGATGGCCTTTCTAGAAACAGTTCCTTTCAATGACCACGGCGCTCACTTGCCTCTACCCAAGACCTGAGTGGCTGCGAAGGCATCATCCACTAAGAAAGCCTTCTGTGGATTCCAGGATGGGAAAGGAGGCTGGGCACCTGGGGGGGGGGAGGGGGAGTCTAATCACTGGTTACCATGGCAACAGCCCATTTCCCTTTGGGGGGGGTGGTCCCTGAGCCCTCAGCAAGCCCAACCAAGGTCAAGACTCCCAGGTTAAGAAGCCGCGGCCTCCTCCACCTCGGTTCTTCTCCATTATCTGCAAGTGTGAGTTTTGTCACTGGGGAATCTCTGACCCTGGAGGGTTGGAGGAGATTGTACTTCCAGGTCAGACCTCCCCAGGCCCACCTGAGAACCTGGATCAAGACCCCATGGTGGGGGTCGTACCTCCCAGGCCCACCTGAGGCCCCCGATCAAGACTCCATGGGGGGAGGTCACACCTCCTAGGCCCACCTGAGACCCTGAGACCCTAGATCAAGACCCCATGGGGGGGTCGCACCTCCCAGGCCCAGCTGAGACCCTGGATCAAGACCCCATGGGGGGGGTCGCACCTCCCAGGCCCACCTGAGACCCCAGATTAAGACCCCATGGAGGGAGTTGCACCTCCCAGGCCCACCTGAGGCCCTGAGACCCTGGATCAAGACCCCATGGCGGGGGTGGGGGGGGGGCGCAGCTCCTGAAGCCTCCCCAGGCCCGCCTGCCAGGTCGGGCATCCCTCCCCCTCCCTCCCCCCGCCCCCCTCCGGGGCTCACCCGCCGGGGGCTCGCGCAGGCTCAGGCGCACGTCCAGGTACTCCACCTCCGAGGCGGCGGCCGGGATTGCGCCGACGGCGGAGCCCGGGCCCCAGGCGGCGGTGGCTCGGCCCCGGGCCTCCAGGCGCAGCGCGCGGACGGCCACCGGCTCCGCCGCCTCCAGCAGCACGTGCCCGGCCACCGTCTCGCCGCCGGCGTAGCAGCCCTTGCGCTCGTCCTCGAACACAAGACCCAGGCTCTTCACGCGGCCCTCGAGACCCGCGGCCGCCGTGGACCCCGCCTCGCCGCCCATCCCGCCGCCGGGGGACAGGGAAGGGACCGCGGAGCCCGGCAGTGGCCCAGAGCCCGGGTCGTGAACACCGCGGCGCCGCTGTCACGGGCGCCGAGGGCCGCCGCGGCCACGGTGTGACCGGTGAAACACCAGCGCGGCCGCGGAGCCTGTCGCTTTAACAAACCTGACTGAGATGGGAGCCGGGCCGGGCTAGCCCTCCTCCGGCGCACGCCCATTGGTCAATCCTGAGAGCTGCTGCATGTTGATTGGTGGAAAATACCCAGTGAGTCATTTTATTGGTGGAATTGCTCACGGGCCGGGAGCAGGAGGACAGAGCGTGATCAGCAGGGTCTGACCAATCAGAAGCGGCGGGAATGCACGTGCACACGCGGTTGATTGGCCACGGCAAGGCACCGTCCGCGGGCGCCGACCAATAGTGATGCGGTGCGCCCATGTGGACAGATGATGGGGAAACAATCTGTCCGGGCGGGGGGTGGGGGCCGAGCCCGGCGTCCCCGGCTCACCGCGTGGCCGCCGTTCCCATGGTGACGGGAGGGGGCGTGGCTTCCAGTGTCAGCGCTGGAACGTGAATTGTTTATGATCGCATCTGCTGGAAAGGAAACGAAAGCCCTGGAACCGGGACGTCCGCAATCCCCGTGAAACCCGGAGGCCGGGCCGCCTCAGAACTTCCACCAGGTTCCCGAGACCCTCCCCCCATGGTCTGGAGGGGGGAGCCCGCACCCCTCCGCCCCTCCCTCGAATCTGGGAAGAGGCTTGGACCTGGGGTTACTTCCTCTCACCGAAGGTCATGAGTCAGGCGTGACTCAAAACTGCACCGACCGCCCACCCGCGTTGCTGCAAAGAAATGGAAGTAGTGAATTCTTTATCGTGCCTGCATAATATTCCCTTGCCTCCCACATATATGTATATATACAGATATATATATGTATATATGTTCCATAGAGAGATGTACTGTAGAACTGTCATATATATGTGTATATATGTATATACATATATATGTGCTTATCTGAGTATATATGTGCTTATCTGACAGTTCTTCTACGGAACATCGTGAATGTATAAGTATCATCTCTCCAAAGAAAGAAGAAACCCCTGTCGTCACTGTATTTGATGCCGGTGCCCTGCATCTTGTATATACATTTTTCTGATTTGGGGAAGGGAAAAAACAAAATGCTGAAATAAGGATGACCCATTGTAACACTGAGATGTACAAGACACTACGTTCAAAACGAACTTTACACCTTTGGGGGGTAGGGAGGAGTTGGGGAGGTGGAGAGGGAAGGGATGGTAGGGGGGAAAAAAAGGAGGGGGTAACAATGCTCGATAGGAAATGGACTCATTACCTTACTCATGTAATTGTCACCCCTCTGTACAGCATCTTTACAATGATATATATATATATATATATATATATATTATTTAAAAAAAAAAAAGAAAAGAGAGAAGAATCTGCCACTCCCAGCTTTTGTTCAACCCCACCCTCCTAATTTCCCAGCCCCAGTGTTCATGGTCCAGGAAGACTTCCCCATTCCTTGGTGACTTGTTTCTCTACACCCGTGGGGGCTTCCCCTCCCCCTCCCCCTGCTCTTTCATCTTTCATTTCACATTTGTCACCGTCACGCCCATCATTTTCCAACTTTTATTACTTATCAACATCCCCAGTTTGTGAGCTGTTGGCACTGGTGGATTGATGAGTCAGAGCATGAGATCTTTAACTCTCCTGTTTTTCTTTTAAGGATTCCCAAAGTAAAATTGGAGCCACCATCCCTGGTCATCCGTTTCTTAAAGTTAATTAATTAATGGGTAGTGGTCCTGAGGTTTGAACTGCGGGCCTAGCTTTTTTCACACAAGGTTAGTGTTCCACCTACCACTTGAGACGTAACTCCACGTCCAGCTTTTGGGTGGCTAATAACAGATACGAGTCGCACCGACTTTGCTTGCTCAGGCGTGGCTCACAACTGTGATCCTCCTATGTCAGCCTCCTCAAGAGCTGGATTTGTAGGCAGGAGCCATTGGTGCACCAACCCTCCCCCCAGGCCCCCACCCCCAGACTTGGGTATCCATTTTTAAGGTGGAACTTTGATGAGACCTTTGGAGTTCAAAGATTCCTGATCATGCCTTGAAAATCAAAAGTGGGAGGGGCCACACCTCCAGCCCCATATACATTTCTGAAATAGCTTTCTCTGTTTGGGGTCGTTTCTGGAATCGTCCTCAGCAAGCAGTTCTACTACGATTCTCCCTCATCCCAGACCCTGAATTCTGTGCATCACTCCCATGGTGAACACAGATATTTCTCATTCATCTTGTTCTCAACCTCTCCTGCTTACCACAGCGTAGTATACAGCAAGTGATCAATAAATGGGTCCTAACTAGGGTGAACAAGGGGAAGGTGATCTTAAAGACTGACAGCCGTAGCCTTCTGTGCTAAGAGAAAGATCAGGCTCTCTGTTCAGTTGTCACTGCTTTGTTTCCTTTTCCCTCCGTGCTGAAATCAAAGCTCTTGTCTTTCCAGGCCGAGCTGAGATCCTCCCACTGAGCTACATCTCATTACACAGCCCAGCCTGGTCTTGAACTCAGTATCCTCTTTTGCCTCAGTCTCCCAAAGTGTTTGAGATTAGGGAGCACACACCATCCACACTTTGATGAACCGTCAGTGAATCCTTCCATTTCCAGGCCCAAAAATGTGACCAATGGTGGCCTGAACAAGAAGAATGCTAGCACTATGTTTTGTTCCATAGGGCACGAACCTGGGGCCTGATAGCAGTTGGGAGGCCAAGGCTTTGGCCTGTGCCCGCTCTGCCTCCACAAATGAGCAGCCAGCACGAGTCATGAGTCTGGGATTAACGTCAGTCATATTTAGGTCAGTTCTGACTTCTGTCAGAAGGTCTCTGTCTTCATTGGTTCTCCAGCACATTGATCTTTCTCTGTGACTCCTGGGGACCCATTTTCGAATCCTTGACTCCCACTCGCCATCCTAGGCTCTTCTTTTCCTTGTTTCCTGCGGGGACCTGAGGTGTGTGTGTTCCCATATCCTCTGGCTAGGGGACCCCACTTTTCTCTTTAGAATTGTTTTGGGGATCACATGGTGGTCGAGCACTCTAGGGGCATCAATAATCATGTCGGACCAAGGGAAGAAAATATTTTTCTATGCCTTCTTGACTTTTTTTGTTCGGATACTAGTCTTGAATCTTTGTCTGCATGGTTTTAAGATGCCACACTAGGTGATGATTGCGTTCTCACGTGCCATACCATCATAGTGCATTCCCTCAACCCTCTGTGTTTCCTCATGGCTGCGCTGAAGTTGCATTTCTGATGAGCCAAAGTATTTTAAAGAACTGATTAGAATTGAATCTCCAAATTCCTGGCAATGGCAAGACTGGGTTTGTGAGTGGGAATGTGGGCACTGTTTGCGCGCGCGCGCGTGTGTGTGTGTGTGTGTGTGTGTGTGTGTGCTGCGTGTGATGTGTGATGTCTGTGTGGCTTGAGTGTGCAGTCGCTGTGTGGGTGTGGTAGTGTGGTGGTGTGGCGTGTGTGAAGTGTTCTGTGGGGGGGTGTCATGTGTGGGCATGGGGTGTAGTGTTTATGTGTTGGGAAGCTGAGGGGGGTAGAGCTGTGTGTATTTCAGTCTCAGCGAGTCTCGCGAACATGGTGTTAAGTGAGAGAAGGCAAAGGGTTGGTGACCATCGGACAAACATAACACAGGGCATTATGGTACCACTGATCTCAAGCTCAGGGGCGCACCAGGGGTACATTACACATTGCTTAGGGGCTCACACATTATGAGTCAATGGAGACTAGTTTGCAGTCAGAGTTTCCCTGGTCCCTAGGACCACAGAAGGCAGAAGTTGAGAGGGAAGAAGGAAGGTAGCATGGAGAAGGAAAGGTAGGTCAATTCCTAGGAGCTAAACCGCATTGCTGTGGTCCAGTTAACTTATGAAAAGTGTATGGGTGATTTTAAAAATCCATTTATACGTCCATCTTGCTCATATTCTCTGACACGTGCAGGATTTCGTGATAATTATAGATAAACCTTGCAATTACACTGACTGTGGAGAAACAATCTTTTAATTGTTTATCTCTTTTTTTTTTCAGCCTTCTAAAAGAGCTGTCCTGGAAAAAAAAATCCCCCATAATTTATTCCAATGTATTTTAAATTAATTGAATTTTAAGACAGTGTTTGCAGGTCTCCAGTTCTTATAGACAACTGTGTCATTGGCAAAGGTAATTTGAGAGCAGCTAATTAAAATATTTAATTGAAAATATTAAAATTACCCCGGCAAAAGAAAGCATAAACACAATCAACCCATTTTGAAATCTCTATTTTAAAACAATTACCATGTGTCTTTTGAAAATGAAAGTTAGAACCTTTATTGGTTCAAAGATACATTCCTAACAGAAAGATTAAAATGCAATTAATAATCTAAACTGTTTTCATCATTACTTTTGTTTTTAACGGCAATATTATATCGGCGAAGGAAACTCTTCAAGATTTTTATGTTGTTAGAACTGGCAAAATGCCCAAAAGAATATTTAATTTTTTTTTAACAATAAGACGTAAAGTGGAACCAGTTTGGTGGGAATCTGTGTTTATTTGAGTGTATGCTCCACGCCTGAAGTTCTCCTAAAGCTTAAGCAAACAAATATATCCTTGTGAATCTGCTAAGTGATGGTTTTGAGTTGAGAGAAGGAATTTATTTAATTTTTGGTCGTGGGGCTTGAACTCAGGGCCCGGGCGCAGTCCCTGAGCTCTTTCACTCAAAGCTAGTGCTCTGTCACTTTAAGCCACAGTGCTACTACTGGTTTTGTGGTGTTATTTGAATTGATAAGAGTCTTAGTCTCTTTTCTGTCCTGGTTGGCTTCGAACCCCGATCCTCAGATCTCAGCCTCCTGAGTAGCTAGGATGACAGGGGTGAGCCACCAGGACCCAGCTCTCTAGGCCATTTTTAGAGCTAAGGTTTCATCTCATTTATTATTTATTGTCTGTTTTTTTGGTCGGTCATGGGGCTTGAACTCTGGGCTTGGGTGCTGTCCCTACGCTCTTCAGCTCAAGGCGAGTGCTCTACTGCTTGAGCCACAGTGCCACTTCTGGTTTTCTAGTGGTTTACTGGAGATAAGAGT